TTTTTGTCTGTTGCCTCCAGACCAAATAATGAAAGTTGTTGAAACTTTTAGGATTTGTAGAGCACCTAGTCTCACACATTTTGTAAAATTTTCAGCCTCACCGGACTTAATATAGCCGAGATATTAAAAAAACAAAATGAAAAAACGTTATTCCGTCACGCTTGGACTGGCCGTATAATCAAGTCAGCCTTTATCGTTTTGTATCTATTTCTTTCTCTTGTGTTTATTAACATGTGGTGATGGAATGAAGTCCTTCAGACCATGGTTCAATGTTTTTTTCCTGCTTGGAGTAAAGAAAGACCAATTTTGGAAAAAACTCGGGCATACGGTGGCAATAAATTTCGCCTTGGAGCCGAAAAGATAAACTTTATACTCAAAATATCGAGACAGACATTTCTTCTGAAACACATTAAAAGCCTTTATAGAATTAGTTTGTGCATTTTTTCAAAGAGCATATAGCATCAAAGAGAGTGACTACAGTCACCTTTCTGTCTAAAGAGCGGTTTAGCGGAAATCTGGGACAAAGACGTATACGATCAACATTGATTTGGTCATGATTGTATCTTGGTAAATTGCCATAACGACGTAATATATCACTCACTAATGTTTTAATATTTCGCCCTGATCTGTATGAACAAATACTCACATCAACTAATCACAGGTAGACTAATATTTGTTACACTTCAGAAACGTAATTATTTATGCTAGAAAGTATATTTCAACTACATATTTGTTTTTCCCGATTATACTCATTCAAAAACATTCATGTACATATATATTTAAATATATCTTAGAAATGTTCAATCACAGCTTGTTGGAGTGATGACTGAAGAAGTCATAGCACTCGCAGCATCAGCAGTTGGTTGCCTCTTTTCCCATTCTTGTTTAATTAATAGCTGTTGAATATGTAGTGGTAGACCAGGATTCAAATTGAATGCAAACGGCAACATTTTTGATAGATTAGCAAAATCAACCATGATCTTTATGAACATTGTATCGTCTCGTACATAATTGTTATTGTCCGGCTGAATCATTGACACGGCACAGAACTTTGGTATTCCACTGGCTATATTCATTTCCGATCTTGGTCGTTGAAAGGAATTTGATTTGGTGTCTGTCAGAAAACTGTCTATTACATGCCGATTTTGACCTGATTGATCAAACAAGCAAAATGTGACTATGTGATTGAATGGCCATTTGAGCACTGCATCATAATCTCCTTTCATCAACACGAAAAACAATGAGATGTGGGTTCGTCTCGCGTTACCATCGCCATGGAGATAGAGCCGCGCTCGCATTTTGTATCCAGCAGGTGATGAATAGAAGGGAGGTGAATAAATGGATGTGCATCTCTCACTTTGTGCATCGGCCGTTTTGTTGCTGACATTCGTTATTTTCCACGTTTGGGTTCCATCATACGACACGGATTCGATGTTCTGGATTTTTTCTTGTATATTCGTCAATTCTTGTTCAAGAATTTCTTTATTTGCGGCTATGCCGACGAGAAATGTATCTTTTTCATCAACAGAAAGTTTCAACTGCTGTATTTCATTGAAAGCGGATTGAATCAATTGCTGATGGCGTTGTGCTTCCGAGTCTAATCGTGTGACATCGCTTGATAATGTTTGGACCCCTTGATCAAAGATTAAGAGTGTCTCATGACATTTTTGAAGTTCCTGATGTAAATCACTCATTTCAACTGATAAAGCGGAGGAGGATACTGTTTCAACCTCCATCATATGAGTAGGCTCTTGTTTAACTGTAGTTAATGAGGAGGCACTAGCGCTAATGGATAGTGTAGTATGCCCATTTTTGAACTGATCAATATTCAATTTTACATCTCGAACAGATGCTACCAGAGCCGATTGATGCTGCTCATTGAGATAATGGTTGCTAAGATTCTCGCGAATTATCTACAGAATTTACAATGGCTACATAAACTTCTTATATGTAGCAGAGATAAGAAAACTCACTTGACTACCGCAGCCGTATTTCATTAACGGACAGTTCACAATTGCTTTCGGACACAGATTTTTGACATGCTCTTGTGATACAGTCGACGAGGATAATTTTTGCCCACAAAATTGGCAAATGTTATTTCGGTGAGCAGAATCGAGATGTTCCTAGATTGAGTTCTCTTCTAGTGTCTATGTTCAGATATGCTAAGCTTGTAAAGATATACTTGATAGTTCTTGAGAAAACTGTTCCATTGACAGTTATTGCGTTTTTCGATGCAAGTAACTATTAACTGATCCATTTCTTTTTTGAATGCTCGATCAAGAACAATCTAAAATTAGCAGAAAAATAAATTTATGGTATAGTATGACCATTAATTGCTTCTCGAGTTATTATCTGTTCTTTTGTTGACGCTTCTCCACACAACGTGCAATTGACAACTCTATTTTCTCTAAAGTAATAAGAAAACCGGAAGAAGGATGTGACACAGTATAAAAGCCTGAATTTACTGTAATTTTGAGCTAACACATAAAGAACATGCTCGATCTCCACATTGCATTTGTTTTGGATCACGAATGAGTCTTTTACAATACTGACATTTGAATTTTTGGTCAAATAAATTAATTTCAAAAACGTCAAAGCCGCCACTATTGTCCGGTAGCTAAATTATAAGAATTTAGATAAAGCAAATCCTAAGTCGTGACATTTTCTTGAACATTTTACTTACAGTAACGTTCATGGTATTGTCCGGCACACTAAACTTTCTAAAGCACCTGCGATTTACAGGCAAAAACTAATCTAGAAAAAGTCACTACAATAACAACTCAGCAAAACTATGGAAACACAAATTGTTCAGTATCAAATTCTACACCGGCTCAAGGAGGAGAATTTTGAAATTATAGAAAGTAGATTTTTAAATGTAAAAATACCGTTTTTAAATATTTAATTTAAAGTTTTTAAGAATTTAAAAATTTTCCTCCTTGAGCAGATGTAGAATTTGATACTGAACAATTTTTATCTTCACAGTTTTCTTCTATAATGCTTTTCTAACGTTGTGCAAGGTCCTGGCCGATTTTGCCCTCCGGGACTCTGAAAATTCGACCTGAAAATCTTTATTTTCTTCGATTTTTGACACGTTCGTTTGATTCTGTGTGTGAAAGTGTCTATGCTCTATGAGTTGAAGATTTTCAGAACACTATCTTCTGGCCCAGAAGAAAAGATAAAGTAGTGTAAAAATTTGAACATCTTTTCTTCGCAGTGTAGCATCTCCGTATTTTCAATTTTAAAGATTGACCTTAAGGAATTTAGAATAGCAAAGTATTATATCAAGAAAAAAACATAATAAACAACTTCTACATTGCTGCTCCAAAATGCGTCCCCGCAGAGACACTGTAGGCAAGCTCTGGAAAACACACACTTTTTGCCCCAAAACCTATGCCTAGGGTCAAATCCGAATTTTGCAGCCAAATCTTGCTGGAAACTGATGACAGTCTTTTCATATATACTTCTCGATGCGCTCTATCGATTGGTTGCAAAATCGAGGTTTCAACTTGAAAAGTAAAAGTTTTATTAAAATTTTAAAAACTGAACAAAGTAAGTTAAAAGATATTTTTACTAGAAAACTAAAGTCCCTATCCTCCAAACTCTTTTCATATATATTCTGAAGTGTTCTCTACAATGTAGCAAAATTTGCGGCAAATCTAAAAGGAAGGATCCCTTCCTCCTTAAAGATTTCTTCGTAAGGATTCATCGGCTACTTGACTTGTTTTTGCTTTGAAGAGAAGACCTATCACTAGCGATTTATGATTAATATGAAAAATTATGATTAAGCCATTCGAAAGAGCATCAAAAACTGGGTAAGCTAAATATAGTATGGGAATTAAATAAAAGAATTTGACTCACCTTTCAATCGAAAAACTGACATCATTCAGGATAATTCTTTCTGAATTGTACCATCATTACTCGAAAGCGTGGTGAAAACGTGCAGACCTACTGATTCGAAAGACAATGCAATTCTGAACAAGAATATAATATTTAAAAAATTTTCTATCATCAGCGCGGATGCTAAAAAGGGTTTCTGGAAAACCAGTTCTCTGCGTTTGACCAAATAATTCTTGCAAATAACTTGATCCAATAGAGCAAACATTTCTGAACAAAATGAGAGGTATCCGAGTTCTCCACGATCATTCTTCATCGAACTGCACTCAATTTACTAAAGGTCTCAAACACCGTAAAATCATTGAAATTTTCAAAAACAATAGTTGTGTTTGAGACCTTTAGTAAATTGAGTGCAGTTCGATGAAGAATGATCGTAGAGAACTCGGACACCTCTCATTTTGTTCAGAAATGTTTGCTCTATCGGATGAAATTGTTATGAATAAGAAGAAGTTATAACGTAACATGGCTAAAAGCTCAGCCCGTATATATAGGGGCCACGGCAAGTAAGGGTTAATAAATCTTAATTCGTTACGAGTGTCTGGATCACGTGCTAACTCGAAACTTTAGATATATTATAGCAATTTTAAGATAATAAGCGGAACCTATAGCTAAAAGTCGTTCTGGGTATGTAATAATGACCTTCAAATCACTCAGGACCTTAATTACGATGGTACACTATTGTATTCAAAACAATATCAAATGGACTAGGGTTCTGAGTATAGAACCTGCACTCCTCCTTCCGTCGCAAAACTAATGAGACGAGTTCGAAATAATAACTTATCGCTGCGTAATGTCTTCAGTTTCCTGTCTTTCATGCTAGGATAATGCAGCATCCTGGGTAACAGAGTGAGTATGAGAGTGAGTTCGAAAAGTAGTTTCACAGAAAACATATTTGCATGTTGCGAAGCTAGATATCTGTGACTGTATTAGATAATGTCTGGTCACTAGATAACTTTAGTTGAGTTTGAAAACTTGATGTACAGAATACAAAACCGGACTTATGTATTCGCCTTTTCCAATAAACAAGTCTTCGCGGTAATGTCGCAGTATCGATAATAAGTACGTTTTGCATTTGCTGGTCTGTATTCTAGTATGTATGTTCTCAGCAGTTGCTCTGTGTGTTATTGTTTTTCGTAATACATGGTTTCAGAACTCTACGGTAATTCCAGATAAGTAATAATTCTTGTTTCGTAAAACTGTTTTACCGATTCATCGTAAGATTAATAGCCATCATTCTTAAAGCATTTATTCGGTGAATAGTTATTTCTGAAACTGGAGAATCTCCCGCTAATTTTTTGATATTTTATCCCCAAACTGGAAAAACTTACTCTCCAACTAAAACATTTTACTTCCGCATTGATCAATTCCAAAAAAACGCCATCAAGTTTACTGTCTTTTCTAATCGAAAATTGTTTTTTTCAGAATAAAAAGCAGGTTAAACTTTACTTTCAAATCTAAAAGAATGTTTACTTTACTTCCAGTTTTGGTGCCGCCCCCTAGCTTTTACTCTTTGTATATATTTTTTTCTTTATATATTTACGCAGGAAGTAAAGCCTTTAAAGGTTTTTTCCAACCTCATATCATAATAAAACATTATTACCTGTGGAAGATTACTTCCTTTCTTTCAATAGAAATGTATATACTTCTGAAAGCCATCATGCTATGCAAATTGACGGCACGAGTGGGGTTGTTCTTTTTATCAGTGAGTTATTTAGTTAGTCAATACTGTGCAAAACACAACCTTTTCTTCCCTTTTTTGTGATGAAATATTTTTATGGGTTCATCAGATTTTTGCTGAAAACGATGGCTGGAATGAAAAATATTGTTTATTTGTTTATATACGTCATGTCTGCAATACAAGAGTATGGGAATACTACTCGTTCTCTCAAGAAGAAAAATAGGAAAAGAAAACGCTGCTGATTAGACATGCGCGGGACTGATTCCTTACTTAAACAGTGACGATTCTTTTTCACATGAAAAAGCAACTCAGAATGTACAAAATATGAGAAAATAAAGTTTTGTTGATGAGTGGATTCTGGAAAAAGGATGTCTAGAAATCCACCGAGCTTTCAAAATCAATAATATTGTAAATCCATCTGAAGCATACCGTATTTTAAAAACGTTTTAGCGCAAACCGTAAGACCAACCTCATTTTGTAGAGTTTAAAAGTGGCGCCAAAGTAATAGCACTCTCTCTCGCCTTAAAACACTTTTGTAGAGCGTGCTGTGTTGAATTTGTCGGTGAAAACCGCAGGTCTACACCTGTTGCGGAGAAAAATTTCACTTCCGATCTCATCCCACTCTAGAATTGCCGAGGCTCATTTTAAATAAAAGAGCAATACAGATGCTATATATGCCAACAAGAATAAATTAGCTTATATAAGGATTTTAATGTAAAGGATCTTGAAGATGCGAATTTTGTAGAAAACCTTTTAAAGTCAAACTTTATCTTTTCTAACCACATGTTTGGATAGAGCGTTCAGTTCTAAACAAAATAAGATCTATTTGGAATGAGTAAGCTAGAGGCTTTACAAAAGGTAGGTGTGTGAAATTCGTGTTTTCGGTTTCTAATCCGGTATTCTTGGGCACTTTCGTGTTTTTAATGCCAATTTTGAACAGTAGATCCTGGAAATGTCGATCATATGTCATTTGCTCAGAATCGAATGCTCTATTCAAACATGTGGTTAGAAAAGGTTTTAGATAAAGTTGGACTTTTGTATAAAACTCGAAGTCCTCATGTCTTAGGGTCCCAGCAATAAGATGGTGAAAACCGCAGGTCGCTATCTATCAGTGTGATTGAGTTACTCCAAAAGTAAGCGATCGCCCTATATTTTGGGACGGATAGTACTACTTTTGCTGGGGGAGTAAAAAAGCCATGCTATCTCGGCGCTGGCGTTCAGGGTCAATGTAATAGTAGTATGTTTCACGTGAACTCATCCTACTGTTAACGTTGTTTTAATTATACGCTCCTCAAGTCCAATGATTGACTATGCTAAACCTTGTGGCAATATTTGATTTTCATAAAATTGAAACTTTGAAACATAGAAAGTACAAACTTTTGTCAGGCTCAGAGCTACAAGCTCACAAATAGAGTAAAAGCCTTA